TGAAGTAATAAAACGACTTTCTCGCTTTTTTTTCTGATATTCGGCTGCCTTATAGTCACATTTTATAGGCAAATTTTCTAATAAGGCATGGCACCTGGTAAATTTCACTATGGGTGGGATACATGCAATAACACCGTACACAATAATTCCCATTACTTGGTCATTAAAAAGCAGTTTCAGAAGTGAAATAGTGTTATCTTATTATTTTTCTTTTTTCTAAACGGTTATAATGCCACCAGTGCATAATTGCGAAGCGTGGATAGGGGGCGGGGGATGCGAGCGGGACGTCGAACGCGGCGCGGGGCGGCCCGCGAACGCGACCGCCGTGATGCTGGGCACTTTCAAAATTGTGTACTTACAAATGCGTCCATTTGTCAAATGTAACTGGGTGACTGTGCACTATTTTGCTTTATCACTCAATTGTTAAGTTTGAAAGTTGGTCTTATTGCTTAACAAGAAATGAAATAAAGCAAATTTGTGTTATTTCACATTCAATTGGGAAATAACACAAATCTACGTTATACCCGTTTGTGTTAGTAGGGCATTTAACAGAGGCATTTGGAAGGCAATGACTCGGTTAAATTCTGAGGTAGAAACACAGAAATAAATGTTTAGCAACAGATACGTGTTCTGCCAGCAGCATCTGGCAAACTGTATTTTTAATGAAAAAACGAAACGAAAAAACGAAAACCTGCCAAATCTCCGTTCTAAAATTGCATTTTTTTTCATGTTTAAATTTTTTTACATAATTATGCACATAAATAAGTAAAAAATGTTGTATACATACATTTGTATATACTTAGGTAAATATGCACATAAGCAATTTTGCCTGCGGTTGATCTTTTTTCGCAACTTTTATAATTTTTATGAATTTCAGATGATACTTAATAGAAACACCTTATCCAACTGCCACCCCTTCCACTGAATTAAATATCTATGAAAAGTTGTTACATACCTACAGCCATGGGCGTAGCCAAACGAAATTTAGGTTGCGGTCTATACAAGTTTTTTTTTTCAAAGCCAATAATGATTACTAAAAAATTGTTATTATAGCTTAAAATTATTGTAATTATATTGTATTGTATGTTGTACACAAACACATAAATAGAAATTCACAAAAGTTGATATAAAACTATTCGTCGATTTAAATA